TGCCTTACTAGTAGAAACAAGAAGCTACTAGGAACAGGTGCATCGCTTGCTTGACGAGAACCGGTTCCGACGACACGAAGACGAGCGCTGGCCGCTTCGATTAAAGAGCAGAAACCAATTCGTTATCCCGAGACCCCAAATACTGTGTCTAAGAGATCCCTAGTGTTGCCACACTGTTTGGGGAGTCAAGCAAGCTATGGCAATGTGTACTCCAATTCAGACTAGTAGCTTCTTGTTACTACTAGTAAGGCACCTGTTACTAGTAGCGTGGCACTTGTTACTAGTAGCTTCTTGTTACTACTCATTTTTTCTGGTTTTGGTTTCTTTTGGCCATGGAGAGCTGTGGCAATGTGTGCAACTGGGCACTTTGTGGAGAGTGGCCAGATCCTGGACCAGGTCTGTTTTGGTCCACTTTAGCCTTCTAAGATATTTATAAATCCTATATATACAGATTGGTTCAGAAAGACTTGTGGTCTTCCCCTGTTTTTGTTCCGAAAAAGCAATCCTGTGCCAGGTTTGTGCCAAGAAGCAAGTTCGAGTTGCAGCCGCACAGATTTTCTTCGAAGCCTTGATCTTTTGCCCGAAGAGCAAGAACCATCCTGGTTCTATTTTGCGGGTGATTCCACGGGCCGCCAGCTCTGGGCTGCCTTTCTGAAGGACGTGGCGAAGCTTGACCTTGGCAGCCTTCTTGAGGTCAGGCTGAGTGTCGAAAACTGCCCCAGAACCACACCACACGACCAGCGTTTCCAAACATTTGTCAATGCAAACGCAAGGCAAGTAGGTCTGCAACCAAACTGGAAAAAGGTGGGGCATTATGTTTGTGATTGGAATGTAAGCTTTGGCCAAAGACCGGTGCGTGTCACCTATGACTGGCGCCGCTTCCTCAGCGACTCCACCAATGATTTACATGTGTTGCAAGAGGTGGCAAAAGCAGGAAGGTTGCCTACAGCCTGGGTGGTGATTTCTGGTGTGCATGATTGCTTTTATTTCCGACGGAACGTGACGTGGCTGACTTCCTCAGTGAAGGCCTTCTTTAGTTTCTTGGAGCAGCGCCCCATCTTGAAGAGCCGCACGGTGATCGTGGGAATGGAGTACATGGTGGACAAGCGCGAGCGCCCAAATGGAAAGTTCAGAAACTACAGTTCTTCCCCGCTATCTTTGTACAACTGTTCGCGAAGACTTCACAATATGATGCTAGAAGGGGCCCGAGAACACGGAGTCTACATGATCCCACGTTGGGAACTTACACGGAACTATGCAGATAAAGAAGTCTACGCTATACATTATCCGGAATCAGTCATTCTAAATGAGTTGCCATCACTACTGACTGGTCTCTCTTGCATTGCCAAAAGCAGGCAACATGGTCAAAGCACCTCCTTGATCACGGTACCATTGTACACCGGCCCTTTGCTTCTCCTTCACTTCCTCATGACGGTTGCGGCAGCAGTTGGTGCGCTGATAGTCGTGCATCAGAGGAGACGGGAAAGAGTTCTACTAGAAGGTCCGGCCGGTGCGCGAGAGCTTCACACTCCCAAAGTACATCCATGAGGAGTACAGAGTCACACTTGGCGCTTTCGGGTTTGGTCTTCGTGGCCATGTCGCGTTTCACGGGGCGGACCGACGGGACCGAGGACTGCGACGTTTCGTCGAGGAAAAGCCACGACTCGTCGGTGAAAACGACGGAGAGCAGCCTGACTGGCGGAGAGCGGCGGTGTGCATTTTCTTTTTCATGTAATTTTTGTATTTTTGTCAGTAAATTAAGGCTCCGCGCTATTCCTCGTGTGCCCGCACGTGGGGTGCTTAGGTGTGAACCCTAGGTAGTTCCTGGGCGTTAATGGTCCGGGGGCTGCCGCTGCTACTTGGCATCTTTCAGGCAGCGCTTGGTTTTGAAGGAACCTGGCTGGCGCCGGAACCTTCGAAGGTTTCGACAACGGGCCAGGATCTTCCTCAAGAGCGGTGCTCTTGGGGCAGTGGGGCGCAGAACGAAGAAAAGAGCGCAGCAGGCAATCCATTTGCTTTCAGCCCATCACGGGTCCACCCACCCTCATGAGCTTGCAGAACCAGAAGTGGAATTGTCGATGCTGTCATGTCCGCATGACAGACCTGCAGACACACTGCACTTGACGCCATGGACGGTGGGAACAGTGCAGTCAAGCAAACCCGAGATCCCAATCGCGCCGGAAGAGAGCAGCCAGCAAGGGTCAGAGCAATGTGAAGAAGGACGGTGCCAAGCCATCCGAGTCCCAGGGATCTATGTTGCCTTCATTTATGAAGTGGGATGGACTGGGGCAACCATGGCAGAAAGGATCACCAGAAGGACGGCTGGCAAAAGTCCAGGTGGAGGAGCCTCTCGAGCTTTCACCACCTCCAGTGTTTCCGCCACCACCAAAGCCAGCAGACGAGCTGCAGGAGGTGGCTCCAGAGGTCAAAGCTCACATCGAAAGCTTGCAGAGCGGCTTTCACGCCCAAGTTGGAGCAGGACATCATCACTGCTGCACGGGCCAACGCCAAGACCCCAAAGGCTTCAAGGGAAAGGAACCCCCCAAGAACCTCCCACAAAAATCCTATCCCATTCATCTCCTCGACCGCGGCCTCTCTTTTCTCGTTTGTCCGCGTGGTCGAGGTTGTAGGCCAGTTGCAAGCTCTTGTTGAACTGAATCCACTTGCCGTCCACCTCCTTCAAATGGGTTCTGGCAGCATCGTATTGATTGCGGGCTTGCTTGGCCTTGTTGAGGTCTGTGTGCGCAATCTCCAGTGGACCCTTCTCCCCTTTGGATGTTGGGGAGAGAGCATTGGAAATTCGACTGTTGATAGAGTTTATGAGCTGGATGGGTTCAATTGAGCGGTTAACAAGTGTCACACCCACTGGCCAATTGGACCACCTCTTAAACCCCCCTCAACCTCAGTCAACATGAGGAGAAGCTGACCTAGGACTGGAGTTCAGGCACCGCATTTTGCCGGACAGTGGGAGAGATTCCGGGATACTTTGCCTGCTGGTTTGGTGACTCTTTGGAAGCACCCTTTCATTCAAAGACAGCAGATGGTGGACCTGAGAGGAGCTCGGCATGTCTTTGATAGGAACTTGCCTTGCCTAGATTCCGAGTTCATGGAGGACCTTGGAGAACCAGCTTGGGTACTTGCGGTACAGGTTCATGCTGAGGTGGACCTGATTGGTCATCATGTTCTTCTTTTTGAAGATCAGCGCGCTTACTGACGCCCTTTGCTTTGCACGGTGCGTGTAGATGGCAGGATGTTGAGAGGAACCTTGCTCCTGGAACAGGGATTTCATGAAGCGAGGCTCAATTCACCGGTGCTTTTTCGACAATGGCCAACGGAATGTCAATGTGACGTTGGGGCATGTAAGGTGGTGTATCCTATGAGGGCCAGGCATTGATGCATCTTCATCATCGTTGTGTTCAATGGGGAGGCCTTGACGAGCCAGATGATCGGCTTGACGATGAATCCTACTCTTTGATGCAGGACTCTCTGTCTTCTGTTGAGGCAGTGTGGCATCAGATACATGTTTTGCTGCGTTATGTGAGAGGTTCATTCTCCTCCACTCGTCAAAAAGAAATTGTTGTGAGAACAGAAGAGCAATGTGACGCTGTTCTTATCATGACAGGTGCTTGGGGGATTTGTAATGCGCCAGATATCTCACACATTTGTTCCTTGGACGGACGCACCTTTCTGGCCGGCCAAACTGTTTTGCTACAAGGGCATGCGCAACTTGAAGTTCAGATTACGGAAGGACCTTCATGTTTCAGTGGGCAAGCTACTGAGGTGGATGGTGGAGAACGTGAAGATTCTGATGTCGTGGCCCTTGACGACGCTGGACAGCGGGATGATCCCGGGGACAATTGGCAGGAACAGAGACGCAACATCATTGACCATGCTGTCACGAGAGGGGAAATCAATGACAGGCTTGATGTGCTTCTTGTGGGATTCCCTCAATTTCACGAGATTGTCTTCTTCTTTGGCATGGGGATCGAGAATGAGGACGGTTTTGTGATACGACCTTGGACGGGGAGGCCTTTGACACAGATGGTGGAGACGGTGGAGCGAAGATGGCCCTGTCTCAAGACGTTTGAGACTTCTCACAGATTCGTTTGACTGCCTCCACGTTTGATCCCTTCGAAAGATTCCTGATCGTCTTGGTGCACCACACGGCCATCACGGTGGCTCCCACACACCCCACCATTGTGGTGGAGTGGATTTTTGAACTCAGGTGGTCTTGCGCCTCTTTCCTGCAAACTAGAGTTGTCCCTCAACTCTTGCCCTTTGCCGACATTCTGGTAATCGTACCCATGTTGGTGGGAGCAAGACCTGAGCGCATTCGGATCTCGAGGAATGGAGTTTCGCAGGACCCTTTTTGCCCTGTGCAATTTTGAATATCAAACAGGTGATGTCCTCATGGTGTTGGTTTTGTGGGAACAGGTGGACTTTGCCTTTCGCGGCAGACTTCGGTTGGGCATTGCAGAGACGGACTTGGCCTACAGTCTTCTTGGCCTCCCACCTTGTTTGCATGAAGAGCATTCTGATGTCGGAGGCAGAGCTATGCTGGTTCCCCCTACGCCGCAGGGCTTGAACGTTCGAACTTCTTTCACAAGACTCTACGCCAATCTTTGGCTCTACCGCATCTACACCTGGTTGATGTCATGGGCCAAGAACCGATGGAATTTTCTGAAGCCCAACCCGCATTGGAAGATTGAGCAAGTCAACATAGCCTACAGATCATCCGTTCTGTTGCGGCGCTTTGTGACTGTCTTTTATGCGCGCTTCATCACCCCGAATGGAGGAGTTTCGTTGCTAGTGGAGTTTGACAATGGACGACGTTTTAAAGAAATTGCTGCTTATGTCAAGCTCCTTGTGAAGCACCGGCAGACACGAAAGACGTTCTATGTTGAGCAATGGATCCCTGAAGAAAGACTCATGGAGAATCCTGAAGATCTAAGACTTTTTGTCAATGGAAAAGAGGTAGAGCATGAGTACTTCATTGTGGAAGAAGGTGACTACATACTTATACTGACCCTGAAGCCAAGTGGGCATTAAGCGTGAAGCCCATGTTCGTGAAAGAAGCCCCAGAGACTGGGGACGGGATCTTCTGCGTGTTTATGGTGAGAATGGCCACTTGGCCGCACTCTTACCGGCAGTGCACCCGTAGCAGAGCATGAGGTTGCCAACGCTGTGGTGCATGAAGTCCACCATAAGATTCTCTTTATCTACTCGCCTGCTGGAACTTTGAGGATTGGTAATGTCTTGATCTTAGTTGACGTGGCTTGGACCGATCATGAGATCGGGCGGCCTGTGCTGAGACATGTTAGGCATGTGCAACGAGTACCAGCTGACCTCACCAGAGCTTTTTTGCTTCAAGCGGTTGATTTGGCTGAAGTCTGTGAGCGAGTGACGCGTGTGGTCTTGCAAGGAGGATCATTGTGGGTGGAGGTTTGCTGCGCTGGTAGGGTCACAAACCATTGTTGGACGAGGTGACGCAGAGGATGAGCACTCCAGCGATCCCTCTTCTAACGAAAGCCCCTCTCTCTTGCAGGTGCACTCTGCCTTGAACCGAAAAGGAAGTGAGAAAGGAGGGTCATTTGCCCAAGCAGCAGCTGTGAAGCTTCCGCCCCCTGGCAATGGTAAAAGGATGCGTTTTGATGAGTTGGTGGAGGCGCAGGAGAATCATGGGATCTCCAAAACCATTGTGGACTACACCATCCAGAATGAACATTTGACCAACTCAATGCGGGGCAACTTCTTTGCCAAGAGCTTGTGTCGACCCTTGAAGGCGGCCACTTACCAGGAGAGGCGTGTCTGGCTTGAGACAAGGGAGTGGGATGACTATGCTAATGATAAGGAGGCAAACTTCCTCTGACAGTTCTGATGAGTCGGTTGTTGAAGTCCCTGCGCTTTGTCTCTCTGAGTTGCTATGATCCTCGTCATCTCCGCAGAAATCACCAGGTGCAGAAGAAAGGCATTGATTTCAGTGAGGCCTGTGATGCACTGGATTGGTTCAATACTCATCTGGTTCACCCTTCTTCAACGAGCAATTGAGGTGGCGCCAGAACAGCAGATCATGGTTGCAGCTTGAACATTGGCAGCTCCAGGAACTTGAGGAGCTTTGTTCTATTTGGACGGCTCGAGTGATGGCGTGGGCGCCGGCGCTGCTGTGACACTTTAGGCCAGAGGTGATGACTGGCAATGGGGAGGAGCCCTTCAACATAGCTTCCATGAGGCGCCAGATGCTTACCATGCCGAGGTTGCGGCGCACATCCTTGCTCTTAAGTTGGGCCCACGTTTTGCTGGGGACGGCTAGGAGGGTATGGGGACAGAGACCCCTTATCCACTTCTGCTTTGACGCCGGCTCGGCTGCTGGTGTGGTGTTTGGAGCCTGCAATAGCCCCGACCCACTTTGCCTGAAAGCGATGGCTTTGATGCAGACGGTACAAGTGGCGCATGAGATCACGGTGATTCCTCATTACACCAAAGCCCACGCTGGCAACCCAGGCAACGAGGCGGCAGACATGCACAGTGATTGCAAGCTCGCTTAAGTTCCTGCTCACGCGGCAATGGACCGGTTCCCCATAGTGGTCACTCCGAGGAAGTGATTGGACTTCAAGCAGGCCATTTCCCGCACCTCCACGGCAAAGAAATGATTCTCATGGGAGACTTCAACTCGAGGGTCGGCAGCATTTGTTCAGTGGCCATTGGGGACCATGGGGCTGAGGAGAGACCTTTGCTGGTGGCATTCTCCATGAGCATATCTTTTGCGCGAGGGATGGTGTTTGCCGGCCGCCTTCACTCGTGTCCACCATGGACCTACCAGCACTTTGTTCACAAATGGAGCCACTGCACGTCTTGACTATGTGGCCATCCATCCCTCAACGATGGGCCACTTCAAGTCTTCGATCCTGGACGGATTTTGGGCTGCAAGCTCATCACCATATGCATGATCACATTCTGTGCGCAGTTTGCGTCTCACTTCGTTAGGGTTTCTTCATGCTTAGCTTCGCGCTTCACTTCTTTAGGGTTTCTTTGGCTCGTGGGCTTAGGGCTTTACTTCTCTGGCGTTTCTTTTGGTTGGGCTTCTAGGGCTTCATGTCTTTAGTCTTTACGTGTCTTTATCGTGTCTTTGGGTTTGGCGTCCGAACTTTGCTCGGCTGGCGGGTTCAGGGTTTCTTTGGGCTTGGCTTAGGGCTTCGCTTCTTTAGTCTTTAGGGTTTCTTTGGCTTTGGCTTGCGAACTTCGCAACTCTCATGGCTTCTTTAGGGTTTCTTTGGATTTGGCTTGCTCGGTTTACTTCATTAGGGTCTCTGAGGGCTTCAGCGCTTCACTTCTATAGGATTTGTTTGGGTATGGTTGGTTCGTTTGTTTCACCATCTCTTCTTTCGGACTTCTTTCGGGTTCCTTTAGGCTTGGCCGAGGGCTTGAACTCTTCAGGTTTTCTTTGGCGTAGGGCTTCACTTCTTGGGATTTATTTGGGCTTGTCTTGCTTGGGGTTCGCTGGGTTTGCGGGATTTTGCGGGTCTCACTTCTTTATGGCTTCTGCTTAGCGCTTCACTTCTTTAGGGTTTCTTTGGGCTGGTTTGGGTGGGGTGTTCCGGGCTGTTCAGGGCTGACTTCTCTCGGGTTCTTTTAGGCTTGGCTGAGGCTTGGCTTCTCCAGGGTTTCTTTGGCTTTGTTTTGCTTGGGCTTGGGCTTGAGCCCAACTTTGGGATTTCTTTGGGCTTGTCTTGCTGGGGTTGAGGGTTTCACTTCTTTAGGATTTGTTTGGGTATGACCTGCAGCCTCCGATTCGAACTCGAACATGGTCTGTTTCTTTGGGAATCACATGCAGGGTCACAGGTTGACATCAGCCACCGCCAGACCACGCGCAATGCCGAATTCAGTAGGAAGCGCTCGTGCCTTCGAGACTTGGACTCCCCCCTTGCGATCCTATTTTTCGTTCACCCCCTCCTATCTCAAGTTTTGGTAACGTGTTGTATTGGTTCCATGTGAGGAAATGTGAATCTGGTGGCCCACGGTTGTTTTTCCGGTGGTGTTTTGTGGCTCAAGGATTTTCTGATGTGAACGTAGGGAGCCGCAAGCTATCGGAGGCTGAAGGAGGCGGCTTTCAATTGTCAGCCTCGAAAACCGCACATCGTCACGTCGTCACGTCGTTTGCGAACAGGATGGCAGAGGAGTTCGCCAAGTTCAAACGGTTTGAATATCGTATCTTTGCCACAAACAGACCTTTTTCTATTTCAATTTTTTGTGATTTTGATAATTTTCGTTCATGCGGCAGGCACAAACTCCAACTTGGTCAAAAGCTTGGACTGGGTAGCAAATGAGAATGGAACTGACAACAAACAAGCATAAACTTCAGTTCTATTGCACAATAACGCAATGCTGCTTATTGTACTAGGAACAAGTGCATCGCTTCTAGTAACAAGTGCCTTACTAGTAGTAACAAGTGTCACGCTATCAGTAACAAGTGCCTCTTTCTGCACAAACTTCACAGGTGTTGCAGCGAGAAGGTGCTGCGCCCTCGCAAAATGAACCTACAGGCTGGGTTTGGAATGGACTTGTGAAACTGGTGAAGAAAGCAAACATGGAGACGAAAGCGAAGACCTTTTGAATCAAACTGAAAAGGAAAAACAAATGGACGTCTCTTTCTTTCAGACAAACACCTGTGTTTGTCTTTGTTTTTCAGTTCTTCCAAAAACGGACGTTCTTTGCGGATCTCTTCTCCTTTTCTCCTTTTCTTCTCCGTTTTCGACCTGTTCGGACCCGTGATCACGACGAATGTCGAGGCGAACCGGAATCCCTTCGTGGCAGGGTCTATCAGAAGTGATCGCCTGAGGGAAACAAAGAGGAACGAAGTTCAGCAAAACTCAAGTGATTTGGGATTTGTGTTTTACACCTTTTCTTCATTTTTTCTTACAACGGAGTACTCGTCGTGGTCGGCAACTATATATACTCGTTACTGTGTCGCTGAGAATGGATCCATCTGGTGAAAAATCCAGAAACGCCAGTGGGATACTGTGAAGTTTGGAAGTAACAAGAAACTAGTAGTAACAAGTGCCACGCTACTAGTAACAGG